GCTCGACGTGTGCTACAGGTATAGCGCAACCTACGACTCGAACTCAACTGTGATTAGACTGTGAGTTTACCCTTTCCAACTTTTTGCCTTTTACTAAGGAGTTGAGACTTTCCTAGTATTTTCCAACACTAAATAAATTAGTGACCTCGCCTTTTTTTGAACACGTATCTTGCTTAGTCATGTCTGGCGATACCCCATGTGATTTGCGGACAATTCCGCCGAACTCTCGCTTCCTACCTTTGACATTTCTAATCCACGTGTGTGGTATATTCAGGTGGAATCTACTTTCCGATGTCGTAAGATCACTTCACAGTCTTCCATGTTCTCTTACGTCGTCTCTCGCTTACCTGTCTCCATTGCATCTGAAGTCATTGACCTCCTTGATCCAATGCCTGTAGAAGCACCGTATGATAAACTTAAAGCCGCTATCCTTAAACACACCACTGCTTCTGATGAGGCTCGTCTGCAACAGTTACTTTCCGGCGTCGAGCTTGGCGATCGCACCCCATCTCAGCTTCTGAGACACATGCGTTCCTCAGTTGGTTCCTCGAAACTCGACGACTCCATACTCCGCCAAATTTGGACGAAATGTCTTCCGGCAAACATCACAGCGGTACTATCACTGCTTAGCGACGATATCACGCTGGTAAAGCTCGCAGAACCTGCGGACAAAATGCACGAAGGTTTCTTTAAGAATACTCTTAATCACGCAACTGAGTCCACCACAGCCAGCTTATCCCATAGCACTGCGCTTGATTCAATCAACGATAGAATATCCCGCCTAGAACTTAGCGTCTCTGCTATTCGACGTGGACGCACTACCCGCCAAAGAAGTCCTCGTGATCCGCGCCGCAGCACATCCCGCTCACGTCAGCGGTCGTACTGTTATTTCCACCGTCGCTTCGGTAAATCAGCACGTAACTGTCGCCCTGGATGCAAATATCCGAAAGGAACTCCGATTTCGCAACCGGGAAACGCCAAAGCCAGCCAGTAATGGCGACGGCTGTCGCTGGCCAACTTATCAGTTGCCTCCTGTACGTGTTCGTCTCCACGGCTAAACTTCATTTTTGGTCGATACGGACGCTGAAATCTGCGTTATACCACGTTCGTTGGAAAAACGCCCTCTGCAACCAGCCGGACTTATGTTACCGGCGGCTAACCAGACTAAGATCGCGACTTACGTCCAAAAGCTGTTACACCTAAGCCTTGGTTTACGACGCGTATTTCCTTTTATCTTTACCATCGCAGATGTCCAGAAACCCATACTTCCCATCGACTCTTTAGCAAGTTCGGCCTCGTTCTCGAGGTACGTTGCAGGAAGTTACGGGACGACAGCACTTCGCTCATTGTCCCTTGCCATCTCGCCCCAGTCAATTCCGTCGGACTTCAAGTACTCATGCCAGACTCTACGCCGTATTTCTCATTGCTTCAGCAATTTCCGTCTTTAGTCCGTTCTAATACCGACTCCACCGAGCCTAAACACGAGGTTCGTCATCATATCGTCACCACAGGTCCACCCGTGTCAGCCAAACCGAGACGTCTTCCAGCTGACAAGCTCCAAGCGGCTAAACGCGAATTCGAGCCCATGCTCAACCTCGGAATCATTCGCCCATCCAATAGTTGCTGGGCCACCCCGCTTCATCTGGTAGCCAAAAGTCCGGTGCTTGACGTCCATGCGGTGGTTAAAGGGCACTTAACGCCGTTACTATCCTCGACAGATACCCTATCCCTCATATTCATGAATTTTCATTGGGATTGTCCGAAAAATCAGTTTTTCCAAGACCATCAAATTCCAATGGCATCTGAGGATATTGTTAAAACGGCCGTTATCACACCTTTCGGTTTGTACGAGTTCATTCGTATGCCTTTTGGCCTTCGCAAGGCGGCACAGTCCTTCCAGCGCTCCATGAACTAGGTCCTTCGTGGTCTAGACTTTGTTTTTGTCTACATCGACGATGTTCTAATAGCCAGCGCCACGCCAGAAGAGCAATTGAATCACCTTCGACAAGTATTCGAACGCTTCGATCATCACGGGATAACCATTCATCCTGATAAAGGTCTATTTGGTCAATCTTCCGTCAAGTTTCTTGGTCACAAAATCGATAGCAAAGGCATTAGTCCCATCTCAGAGTAAACACAGGCAATCATGAGCTATCCTCTACCTCAATCTTTTAAAAACCTGCGCCGGTTCCTTGGCATGGTTAATTATTACGGAAGATTCATGGACAATTGTGCTGCTGTTCTTCAGCCTTTGACTGATTTACTTAAAGGCAATCCAAAGCAGTGCGTCATTACGTCAGAAGCCGAAACAGCATTTGTTGCCCTCAAGCAGAAGTTAAGCCAGCTAACTTCCCTAAGCCACTTGGACACCGACGAGAAAGCTACTCTCGTCCTCAAGACTGATGCTTCACGATCCGCTGTCGGTGCTGTACTTCAACAACTAATTGGCAATGAGATTCAGCCGTTGTCTTTCTTTTCTCGGAAGCTAAAACCAGCACAAAGGAGACATGTCCACTTAGACATAGTCGGATCGCTTCCTCCATCAAACAATTTCACCTTCATTTTGACTTGTGTTGATCGTTTTACTCGTTGGCCGCATGCCATTCCTTTATGTGACATATCTTAGAATCTGTTGCCCGTGCATTTTTCGACTCAGGGATTTCCTTTTTCGGTGTACCATCTACGATCACTACAGATCGAGGATCTCAGGTTAGTTCCACCTTGTTCCGTGACTTGAATCGTCTGTTAGGTTGTACCCACATTCGAACAACTGCTTATCATCCCGCTTCGAATGGCCTTGTCAAGCGTTTCCATCGACAGCTTAAAGCCGCCAGCACAGCTAATTTACCTGATCCATATTGGTCTGAACGCATCCCAGCCGTCCTTCTTGGTATCCGTAATACGGTCAAAGAGGATATTGGACGCAGCCCTGTCGAACTCGTCTTTGGCACCACTCTCAGACTATTAGGTGAGATGATTTTGGATTCCCGGGTCACTGGTGAGATAGATCCTGTGTCCTACGCCGAACGTCTCAAACAACACTTCCGAACAATTCGACCAACGTCTACTTGCTTCACTGCCCGCGAACAACGAATTCATCCGGACTTACATACTTGTCCTTTTGTTTTCATTCGCATTCATGCAGTTCGCAAGCCGTTGAAACCCCCTCATGAAGGTCATTTCAAAGTGCTGTCACGGAAACCTAAGTACTTCATACTGGAAAGGAATTGATCGAAAGAATCTGTGAGTATTGACCGTCTTCAACCCGCTTATGTTGAGCCTGCCGTTACTTTGACTGATCCCAAGTCGTTACCCCCTGCTGGTCAACCGACTGATTCCAATGCTCCAGAACCTTCATGCGGTCGCCCAACGAATGATCCCAAACACACACGTTCAGGACTTTATGTGTCTTTCCCCTCCAAACTAGCTGACTTTGTTCCCTAGATGGCTATATCCAGCGTGATTAAGGAGTATAGTGAGGATAATGTAGTAATAGTTAGATTATGTGTTTGTATTGGGGGGATGGTTTTTAAATGGTAAATGAGTGTGGAATTTTAGTTGGTGTTGTGTACGGAAGTGGTTGCGGAGTTAATAGTAAGTAAAGTCAGAGTGGGGGAGTAGGTAAGGAGAGTGAAGGGGATGGAGATTAAGAGTTGATTATGGGTTAAGGGAGGAGTGGGAAGGTGGGGAAGTTGATTGTATGCTGTGATACGGATTTAAGTGGGAGTTGATAGTAGGGTAGATGTTGCGAAGGTTTGAATGGATTTGTGAGCAGGGATGCGAGAAGGATGATGTGCTGGTAGGGCTGATGTTAAGGCAGAAGTGGATCTGTAGAGTGGTAGGTAAGATAATGGGTTGGGAGAACTGTGGTTATAGTGGAGGATTAAAAGTAGTAGGGTGATATAACACGGCACAAATCGAAGCATACCGTAAGCAGAGGTTTCCGCATTTTGTGTTTAATACGACGTGCTTTCAAGGCCTTGATGGGCAGCATCCTTACGCAATTGTTCTCGGCTTTCGTTCGCCCTTATGTGGAATGCCCCGTCCAGGCTTCTCCTCACTGCGTCGGCCGGGACAAAATGGAGCTAGTGTGGGATTTACGGGTGGGTACTAGGTTGGTTGTGGGAAGATGGAGACGGACGTACTCTGAGTGTCTACTTATTTTGGGAATGTATTCAATGCACTACCGAATACGTAGTGGAGACCTAATCCTAACCTACTGAGGCTTAACGGGGATGGTTGGTCCAGATTACTCTTAGCTATTCAATCCCGCTAAATGGTCCGTTCTACGCGGTCTTTTTCTTGCAGCTGGGCATATTGCGGTCGGATCGCGTTAGGGTGGACATTTGTCTGTCATGCCAAGGCATCGAACAACGGAACCTGCTTTAGGAAAGAGTTTTCTGGGAACCTACGTTTAAGGGGTTTGATCAGCAACTTGATGTCCTTGGGTGGCAACGCGAGACCTTTCCCTTTTCCTGACTAACTGGCATCTTCATACCTGCATAATCTTTTCCCTATTTATTTGTCCATTGGTATTAGTTGCCTTTTTTCACTTGCACCTTTTTATTCAGTACCTTCGATTTCTCTTCCTATCCTTTGCTTAGTTAACCTGCCTGCCACAGCAGGGAATGTTAGGCAGAAAAGTTGTGCATTAACTAGTTGGGCAGGTTGCGATACGTTTGTTCCGTTTTAGATCCATTAACAACTAAGCACAGCGATTCCTGATTGAACGATAAATGCGCAGGTGCACTTACGGGATTCTTCTATCGTTCCAGTCCTAACCGAACTTGCATTGAACTTAAATTGTTTCTTGAAGGAAATGGAACAACAATTATTTATGTTAAGGACTAACTACATTTGGTCCATTGTTTAAATTGGAATTGGTACGCTGCGGATTAGTGAAATTGATCAAGTTTGGACTCATGCTTCTCTGTGAGAGTTACATAATGCACATTTGGTCGTTTTTTCCTATGTGAGTGCTATAGTCCATCGACCAGGCCATGGGCAACGAAGCTTCTCTTCCTGAGCTGTGCTCTACTTTTGATGTTGAAGAGATCAAAAGGTTGGCTAAAAGGTTCAAAAAATTAGATCTCGATGGTTCTGGTTCCCTGAGTGTCAAGGAGTTTATGAGTTTACCAGAGCTGAAGCAAAATCCTTTGGTTGCCCGTGTCATAGAAATTTTTGACACGGATGGGAATGGTGAAGTGGACTTCAAAGAATTTATAAACGGAATGTCACAGTTTAGCGTCAAGGGTGATAAAGATGCTAAGCTGCGCTTTGCCTTTAAGATATATGACATGGACAAGGACGGCTATATCAGCAACGGTGAACTATTTCAGGTGAGATTCTCGCTTCTCACTCAATTTGCTGTTTATGCATGCTTCCCATATCTGCACTTTTTCGGACTTTTTCTATTATTACTAAAACTGCTGGTTCGTAACCGTTTATTTCCGTGCTATGCGACGACTGTTTTATGCGTCTGTTCGAGGCCTCGATTCGGAACGCTTCCTGTCCGACGTGTACTTAGCTCGTGAGATACCTGCGGCCGGTGGCCGAGTGGTCTGCACGTTTACTTTGCTACCATAAGATCACCGGTTCGAATCCGCGTAGGGGTGGGCGTCCTCGCGGTATACTCAGCCCGCGCGCGACTGGTGGTGGTCGCGCGGCAGCGAAGCGCCGTTACGGCGTACAGCTGACACATAATTTTTTTTATTTTTATTACATTGAAAACGAATACCTCGTAGACGGCCGGATAAAGTTATCACAATGGTCTAATAAGAGACCACTGGTTTTTATGTACGATCGGCTAACCTCAGCGAGCTGGATCCCGATGTCACCACTGTCGGAGCTGTCGAGCCTGAGCTGAATGGATAGTGTAAAAAGTATGGGTGATAGTGTAAATGAAACGGATGGGTACAGACAAGTGTAATCGACAGTAGCTGTCTACTCGACGTTCAGCGGTCTTAACTTATGGTTCGCTATAATTTAGCGCTCGGCCCTATTACACATTTGTTCCCAATATTCCTGAATTTAGGATTTTTTGTAATAATTGATATGTTTCAAGCACGACCCAACTGATTAGTTCACTACTTTACATAATTCTTGTTAACGGTAAACCTTTACCAAAGTTACTTGTTTATCATGTTACATCACTACATTGCAGGTGTTTACACCATTCCACTTTGTAACTGACGTCCTTTCATCCTTGATGGGCTGACAAGCCATAAGGTCATCCACCTCTTGATGTAAATGGATGCTTTATGTAGATACAAATTTCTTTGCTCGCAGCTCTTCACCCGTCTGTTCATTGACATTGTCCCGTTCCCAGTGTCTTCGGCATCTTTGACTACTAAGCTGAAACATTTTTTATTTGCATTATTTGCTTGAAAGCCGTTTCGTAGGATCTACCTGTCCTCTAGAATTACTACTGTTTAACTGACTAGCTTCAACCATTTTTGACCTTATAAACACAAGGTACTAGTCTGTTCTCCACAGCCGGCGCGGCCTACAGCTCTTTCGACTTATTGAAAGTGCACAACTGGTAAGGCTCCGCTAACACGGCACCTATTTTCACTACTGCTTCTCGAACTTATTGGTCGTTTTTTCACTCATGTAGCTGCACTACTGGTAGCCAAATCACCTAGATCATGGCGTGCACTGATAGAACACGTAACCTTTTTAAACCTTTGATCGTACGTTTCCGTTCACCAATCCGCATCACTTTCAATTTTACCAGAGGTGTGCGTACTATCAATTGTGAAAACTACATGATAGGTAATATTTTACTGCGAAATATGTATTCATGTGAGCGTCAAACAAGCTTATAAATGAACGACACCGTGGACGCTCTAGCTAGGCGAATGGAGCATGCACAGCACACAAGGCAGTTGCAAATTGCAACCGAAACGAGTGCCAAGCAAAAATGGCGATGAGCAAGTCAAGCATTCAAACTCAGCAATCAGTTCAACAAACCACACCGGTTGCCTAGGTGTACAATGCAATAATTTTAGTTAGAATTTTACACCGGCAAACCGGGGAATCTCCAGACTGCTACATAGCCCTCTCCCAGAAGGGACTGTGTAAGCAGTCCTTCGATCTACCTGAGGACTGTCCGTTGCGGGCCAGCCTTCTGCGAGACCAGGTTGTGAAACCTGATGCAGCTGCTGGGGGAGAACTGTGCAATCGGACCCTAGCGGGCTCCCACCCGTGTCCTCCCTACGGTGTCGGAACGGTAAAAACTTTGTGGGGGGGGACAGTTAGTAAAATTCACGTAGGCAGCTGAACAGAAAGTTCGTTCCACTTCCAGTTGACGTGTAGGGATCCAGCGGAAAGTGAAACCGAGATGCAACCAACCGGCGGTGTATATGGAAAGCAAAATGAAAAAGCTGCATAAATGCAAAGCAATACACAAAAGTGCTTAAAGCGAAAGACGTGCAAAGCTGTTTTTAAGTTTTCAAAAGGTTTTGCTCTTTTTTGTTAGTTTCAAAACGTTTTTATCTTTTTTTGTGGATTTTCAAAAGCGTTTGGTAAGAGCGGAAAATTTCAAAGGCACGTTCTATGTAAAATAGTGAGTGCTAACGAAGTCCGAAAAACGAACTGGGGGCTTGAGTTTCCTACCACGTCGATCGATAGTAGGGCGAGTAGGAGTGCTGTCGGTTGAAGTTGTTGGTTCTGCTGGAGCGGACTGACTCGTCTGAGGTTGCGCTGCGGGCTGTGATGGCACAGGCTGTGAAGATGCTTGTTGCACCGAAGAGTCAGACTTGTCGAGGAATACTGGCTTGTGTCGATCGATGATGATCGTCTCAGTGGTGTTGCGTCGTAGCTTGCTTATGTCGGGATCAGCTTGTTGGGCAGCAGCCATAGCGGCTAGGTCAATGTTGGTGCCAGGCGATAAGCTGATCTGTTGAATGCGTTAAAGCGCATCCGCGACGGGATTGAGAGCATCTGAGACATGTCGTACTTGTCGTAAATTGAGAAACGTAGTCTAGGTGTCTAGTTTCTCGCGAAGAATACCTGTCTGTTGCGCCATTGATTGCGTAGATCATTGACTTGTGGTCAGTGAAGACTAAAATCTCGACCTTCGAGATAGTGGCGAAAATGTCTGATACCTAGGTAGATAGCTAACAGTTCCCTACCGAAGGTGCTGTAACGCGATCCGGCAGGTTGTAAGCGTTTCGAGAAGAAACCTAGGGGTATCCATCGATGGTCGATGAGTTGCTGAAGAACTGCACCGACAGCAGTGTCGGATGCGTCAGTCGTCAGAGAGAGTGGTGCAGACGTGTCTGGATGGGCGAGAAGCGCTATGTTGGAGATAGCGTCTTTGAGCTTCTCAAAAGACAGTCTAGCGTCGTCTGTAAAATGAAAAGACCGTTGTTTACCGCGGAGCAAGTCAGTCATTGGTTGAACAATGCTCGCGCAGTTAGGAATAAAGCGTCTATAATAGTTAACCAGGCCAAGGAATCGGCGTAACTGTTTGAAGGAACTGGGAGCAGGATAGTCCTTCAGTGCCTGGATTTTGTCTGGCAGAGCTTCAATACCAGAGGCGGATATGCGGTGGCCAAGAAAGTCGATGGAACTTTGGCCAAGCTCGCATTTATCGGGGTTGACGGTAACCCCATGCTGTGTTAAGCGTTGGAAGAGAGCGTCGAGGTGACGAAGATGCTCCTCGTCAGAAGAGCTGGCGATGAGTATGTCATCTAAATAAGGGTAAACGCCTTCGAGTCCTCACGTTACTTCATGAATGAGACGCTGGAAAGTTTGGGCAGCGTTGCTGAGGCCGAAAGGCATTCTGAGGTACTCGAATAGGCCAAATGGCGTGATGACTGCTGTTTTAGCAATGTCGTCTGGCGCCACAGGTATCTGATGGTAGGCGCGAACTAAGTCGACTTTGCTAAAGATAGACTTGCCAGCTAGAGCTGAGGTCAAGTCGTGCATGTGCGGAATAGGGTATTTATCCGGGACGGTAACTTTGTTAAGTGCCCTGTAGTCACCACAAGGGCGCCAGTCACCGGATTCCTTCGGTACCATGTGTAATGGTGATGCCCATGGACTTTTGGACGGGCGATTGATTCCCAGTTCGAGCATTTGCTCGAATTCCGCCTTAGCAGCTTTGAGCTTGTCCGGGGCTAGTCTGCGAGGGCGGGCCGAAACAGGTGGGCCCTTAGTGCAGATGTGATGCATGACGTTTGACGTCACAGGAGGCAAGTCGTTCAGGATGCGAACGAGTTTAGGATACTTGTTGAAAAGTTCTATAAAAGGTTGTGAAGCTTGAGGTAGGACACGAATGGGAGTGATAGCAGCCACGTTGGCGCTAGTCCCGATAACACTGAGCTGTGTCCTAGAGTCGGTAAGCTTCTTCCTTTTAGCGTCGACGATGAGATCGAAGCGTTGAAGAAAGTCAATGCCTTTGATGGCGAAAGGCACGGCAGCGATTATGAAAGGCCAGCGAAAGGTTCGCCGGAGGCCTAAATTGAGTGTTAGCAGCTTTTCGCCGAAAGTTGCGATTGGTGTGCCATTGGCGGCACGCAGCTTGGTCGGCGTTGGTGAGAGGACCTCATGTGGGCCACGGGGTATAACTCTAACTTCGGCTCCAGTGTCGACTAGAAACTCGGTGCCGGAAGTTAAATCCCTAACGCGGATGAGGCAACTTTGGTGTTGGCCGATCGCGTCCGTCGCCGTTACGGACCGGCCGCGAAATTTTCCCTGCTTCTCGGCGAAGTTGCAAGGCTTGACACATTTACGAGCTGCGGTACCAAAACGCTGATGGTACCAACAGCTAGCCTGCCTGTTGCTAGACTTAGAACGTTTGCAGGGCGATTTTGAGCGGCTATGATGACGACGGTTCATAGTAAGCTGCTGAACCTGGCGACTAAGTGTCGCAACTTGTGTTTGCAGGGCTTCTATAGTTGACTGTAAGCCAGTGATAGAAGTGCCCTGGGACGCGACGGCATTGATCTTGCTGGCGTCGGCTTGTGGCTGTGATCGTTCAATAACTCGATCCGCTAAATCTGCTAGTTGAGTGAGCGAAACGGAGCTCACTGTAGCGAGAATCGCTTGCGTGTTTTCCGGTAGCCGTTGTAGCCATAGTTCGCGAAGTAAAGTCTCGTCCATGGTTGAGGAACCAAGGAGTTGCTGCATCTCCCGTAGCAGGGTTGAGGGCAGTTTGTCGCCCAGCTGCAGATCCCTGAAAAGCTGCTGCAGGCGAACTTTCTCAGAGGGCATAACACGCTTGATATCGGCCTTCTTGAGAGCCTCATAGCGGTTTTCGGTCTGAGAAAGGATAACGTCACGAACCTGCATTGATATCTCCTTGGGGAGATAGGACAGGAGCTTGCAATAC